GTTTAGGGTTTAGGGCTTAGGGCTTAGGGAAAAGGGTTTAGGGGAAGGGCTTAGGGTTTAGGGCTTAGGGCTTAGGGTTTAGGGTTTTTTGAACACGGCGCTGCCTGGGAATAAGAACTCCCAAAGGTGGTCACCGCATACTTCTGAATCTAGACGTCCCGACAGGCCCCGAAGGCCCCCCGAAAATGGAGGTGTGTGTTTAGGGTTTGGGGTTTGGGGTTTAGGGTTTAGGGGTGTGTGTGGGTGGGTGTGTGCCACCCTACCTCTAAACTCCCCCAAACCCCAAACCCTAAACTCCTAAACCCCTGCACCCCCAAAACCCCTAATTAAACCCTACACCCTACACCCTACACCCTACACCCTAAACCCTAAACCCTAAACCCTACACCCTAAACCCTAAACCCTAAACCCTAAACCCTAAACCCTAAACCCTAAACCCTAAACCCTAAACCCTCAACCCTAAACCCTAAACCCTAAACCCTAAACCCTAAACCCTAAACTCCGAAACCCTCAGATCCTGTCTCGCTAATCGTCAAGCCTGGGCCCAAGGTCTGGGGTCGCCCGAGCCAAGAAGGACGGCAGACAGAGCCGCCTGCTGAGTTTGAGAGTTTCGGGTTTAGGGCTTAGGGCTAGGGTTTAGGGTTTAGGGTTTAGGGTTTAGGGTTTAGGGTTTCGGGTTTAGGGTTCAGGGTTTAAGGTTCAAGGTCCCAATTTCGGGTCAGGTCCGAGGTGTAGGGTTGCGAGACATACGGTTGCGACCAGCATCGAAGTTAGCTGCATGATTCCGATGTTTTACGAACATAGGGGACCCCCAATTTCGACCCCCAAATAGTAGAGTTCCTTCATAATAAGGGCCACAATAAGGTACCCCAATATTGTGCATCGTAAATCCCCATGTTGTTGCTGCCTTCAGGCCGGGCGTTTCTTCTCAGGTGTTGGTTTCGAAGCGCAGTCGTTGTAGAGCTGACTGTGGTGTCATAACACGGGGCTTCCGAAGTTGGGGGTACCTTGTTGGGGTCCTTAGTTAAGGAAATCCTGTTATGTTCTGGGTCTATTTTTCGAAAACCCCCACATCAAGACGGACATGTTGTCAGATCGCGGTTGCCCGGGTTGACGGCCGTGGTGAAAACCAATCATTCGACTCTTCACCCAACTCGGCAAGCAAATCACGGCCGCTGATGTTGCATCCCAAAATGCTACCCCAGAGAGCCCAATGCCCCCTGAATCGAGGAGTTTGCCTGAATGCATAACTAAAACCCTAAAGCGTAAACCCTAAAACCCTAGAACCCTAAACCCTAGAACCCTAAACCCTAAACCCTGAACCCTAAACCCTAAACCCTAAACCCTGAACCCTAAACCCTAAACCCTTGAATGGAAGCCGAGGCACCGGGACCCGCCCAAGCGCACGCGTGATGGGCAGCCGCGGTCTTGGCTTAGGGGGCGGTTTCGGGGTCCAGTTAGGGTTTAGGGTTTAGGGTTTAGGGTGTAGGGTGTAGGGTTTAGGGTTTAGGGTTTAGGGTTTAGGATTTAGGGTTTAGGGTTTAGGGTTTAGGGGTTAGGTACTTAGGTAGTTAGGTAGGTTCTTGGGACATTTTATATTTTCCCTTTTTGGGTTTAAGAGGATCATACTCAGGAATATTTTTCAGAGGGTTCTTGAGGGCCCTAGTTTGGGGGTGGGGGGGGGCATTCTGGACTCGAGGCGCGCTTTGGTTGGCGGGTGCAAAGCCCTTGCTTTTTTTGTTTGGGTGCCGGTTTCGGACCCTAAACCCTAAACCCTCAACCCTCAACCCTCAACCCTCAACCCTCAACCCTCAACCCTCAACCCTCAACCCTCAACCCTCAACCCTAAACCCTAAACCCTAAACCCTAAACCCTAAACCCTAAACCCTAAACCCTAGACCGTGGCTGTTGAACGTGGTATTCGTGAGCTCGCCAGGTTGAGTCGTTTGAAGGACGAGGACATCACCCATCTCGAGCCGCCCTGGGAGAACGTGCGCCACAAAGGAAGCTCGGGTTTGGGGTTTAGGGTTTAGGGTTTAGGGTTTAGGGTTTAGGGTTTAGGGTTTAGGGGTTTAGGGTTTAGGGTTTAGTGCAGGGTGTTGCTTTTTTTGGTGAGTGGAGGGTGGCATCTGGCTCAGTGGGAAGTTGGCACCTGCATTTCGTCAGATGTTGCGGTTTAGGGTTTAGGGTTTCGGGTTTAGGGTTTAGGGTTCAGGGTTTAGGGTTTAGGGCCTTTAGAGTTTTCCAGCATCTCAGCTCGGCGTGGATACAGAGGTCACGACCGTGATGATGCGGAATCTCCCCAATAAGTACACGCAACAAATGCTGCCAGGGACTCAGCTTCTCAGCGGGCGAAGCCCAGGCCCTAGGCCCTAAACCCTAAATCCTAAATACCCTAAATACCCTAAATACCCGAAATACCCTAAATACCCCCACAACTACCCTGCATACCCTAAATACTCTAAATACCCTGAATACCCTAAACCCTAAACCTAGACCCGTCGTGCTGCAGATCGGCTGTGCAGCTGAGGCTCGGGGAACTGCGAGACGCTGGCTTCCACATGCAGGAACGCCCCACACCTCACCACCGACACCTTTAACGGGTTTGGGGTTTAGGGTTTAGGGTTTAGGGTGCCTCACTGGTTCTTAGTTGGGATGTTCCCCTTTTGCTAGCAGCTCCTCAATAGGGATTCTAGTGCCCCCTATCAAAATCCTTATTAAGGACTGTTAGTATAAGGGTGAACATCGAATAGGGACATTGCCAACCTAACTTTTGAAGGGCTTTACAGGGCACATGTCACTGTTTCAGGGTTAGTATGGAAGCCTAAACCCTAAACCCTAAACCCTAAACCCTAAACCCTAAACCCTAAACCCTAAACCCTAAACTCTAAACCCTAAACCCTAAACCCTAAACCCTAAACCCTAAACCCTATAGCCTATACCAAGGATTGTAGTATGGATTTCGTCAATTCCCGTACTTGGAGTAGGCCCCGGAGTGGATGGGAGAGCCTCTCTGCAAGGCCGAAGGGTTCAGGGCTTTTGGGTTTAGGGTTTCGGGTTTAGGGTTTAGGGTTTAGCGCTTAGGGTTTAAGGTTTAGGGTTTCGGGTTTAGGGTTTAGGGTTTAAGTGCATAAGTATGCAAGACTTGAGCATGCAGGGGTTTGGCGTTCGTACAGCAGCCTCCCCCTGCACCCTAAACCGTAAACCCTAAACCCTATACCAAGGAATGTAGCACGGAAGCCTCGCCAGGAAGATTTCGACTTTTTCTACCTGCCGTCGGGCTCTTGACGGCTGGTTTCGAAGCTTTGGGATGTCTGGCATGTGAACACTTCTCAGTCTTACATCCTAAACCCCAAACCCCAAACCCTAAGCCCTAAACCCTCAATCCTAAACCCTAAACCCTAAATCCTAAGCCCCAAATCCTCTTTCAGACCCGACCGTTTGAGAGTTTCGCGCCCAGGATGGACCACTGCAATTGTGCGAATCTCGGTGCGGGGCCTCGGATATCTTCTGTAGTCTCCTTGCGATGCATCCAGGTTAGGGTTTAGGGTTTAGGGTTTAGGGTTGAATTAGGGTTTAGGGTTTAGGGTGTAGGGTTTAGGGTTCAGGGCGGGGGGAAGGGGGGCTTCTCGAGGCTACTGCTTCATCAACTTCACGAAGACGGCGAGGCGGCCACATCAATTTCGCGAACGCAACACATGCGCGCTGCGGCGATGAAGCGATTCTCTCATTCATCGCCGGAGCTGCTGTGTCCTTTAGCTTGCTGCTGCAGCAGAGACACAGAGAGAGAGAGAGAGAGAGAGAGAGAGGGAGGCAGGCAGAGAGAGAGAGAGGGAAGTTTAGAGAGAGAGAGAGGAAAAACATAAATGCTGGCTAACAGGGCAAACGACTTCGCTGGCGCCTTCAGTGGGAAACGCATGTGCCCAACTCGGCGGTCACAGTGCTAAGTCGCGACCAGAGTGCACCCACTCACGTTTGCAAGCCGCTGTATGTCCAGCCTCTTTGCCAAGGCGCCGGTTCAACTCGCACAAGCGGATGCCTCAGTCGAAGACACGTTGCCTGCCCAGGTACCTAAACCCTAAACCCTAAACCCTAAACCCTAAACCCTAAACCCTAAACCCTAAACCCTAAACCCTAAACCCTAAACCCTAAACCCTAAACCTAAATCAACCCTAAACCCTCAAAAAAGAGAAAAAGGGATCACTTCCACTTGAAGTGCCGAAAAGTCCAAGGACCGCCGTGATCATGCCGGCTTCGATTCAAGGGCGGGCGCCTCGAAAATCTTTCCCGGAGGGCGTTCAGCGCATTGCGGCTCTCTGCAGCTTTAACTAGTCTTGGCATTTGAGAAGACGTATCTTCCGTTTGGGATTTGCAATCAAAGCCACTCTGTGAAGAGTCTGGTTCGTGCGAGTTCTTGGCGCTGCTGCAAGGTATGAGCAGAACTACACGTACTACATCTCGACCCGCGTCGCGCAAGCAGCGGATCCACAGTGTTGGCCTGAGCTTCATCTAGGTACTCATAATTAGAATAGGGTTCTGAGGGTTATTATAGTATAATTACAAAGGGAACAAAAGGGAACTATTCCGACCCCTATATAGATTAGGCCCTTGGGATGTCTTACATATTCCCTTACTGGCTTCAAGAGGATCATATTTAGGAATACTTTTAAGAGGGCTTTTAGGGGCCATCCTAGTTCCTAAAGCCCAAACCCCCATGCAGAGTTGCTTGATGCTGGGTTCAATACTTGCCTGAGAGACGGCTGCGGCTGGAGGCATCTGGAATGGAAGGGTTGTGCGAGGTACGAGTCGGAACGTTTTTGGCGTTCCTCTAGTGTCTTATTTGTACCCTAAACCCGAAACCCTAAACTTCCAAACCCCAAAACCCGTAAGACTTAGGTTTCATCTCGACTTTTCGTAGCCACCCCTAAACGTCAACCCTCAAAGACCCTGAGCCCTGTACCCTTAAGCCCTAGACCCTAAACCCTAAACCCTAAGCCCTAGACCCTAAACCCTAAACCCTAAACCTTAAGCCCTCAGTGTTGGACCCTGCGCTCGGTGTTCATGCGCCGAGGTATCGCCCGCTGTTTTTGCGGCCTTTACCTTCAGTGGACATGAACGCAGCTTGGCCCCAAGTGCAGGGCTAAGGGTTTTTAGGGTTTAGGGTTTAAGTTTAGGGTTTAGGGTTTCGGGTTTAGGGTTTAGGGTTTTTAGGGTTTAGGGTGTTTAGGGTTTAGGGTTTAGGAGGGTTCAGGGTTTAGGGAGCTCCCCTCCCTCCTTCCCTCCCCAATCAAAGAGAAGAAGAACGAGACCCACACCCCGCAGACGCCAAACCTCACCTCGCCAGGCACCAGCTCCGACTAGCGGCAAGGCGCATCCGACTGAAAGTGTGCCAGGGCTCAGGGCTGCTGAGGATTTCGGAGTGTTAGGGTTTCAGGTTTGCAACGCCTTAAGCCTTAAACCCTACACCTTAGACCCTAAACCCTTTAGGGTTGAATTCGAATCTTTGGGTTCTTGGTCTGAGGGCTTGTTTATGGACCTTTGTTTCTTTAAGCCCTCGGGGTTTGGGTGTTTCGGAAGTTTCGCCACTAAGTATGTTTAGGGTTTAGGGTTAGAAAGGGTACATGTTGACCTTACGATAGAACCGTACATTAGGCACACGTGGTAGTGGATCTGAATGCCCGTTTGCCCCCCGCCCCCCCCCCCCCCCCAAAAAAAAAAACAGCAAAAGAACAAGAGCAAAGGCTTACATTCTCCCTTTTGTATCACGGGAACCTAAAGATCTTTTCCAAGAAGGACCTTTTGGATCAACCCTAAAGACAGGCGCGCCCCGAGCCCGAGAGTCTCTCCTTACTTCTGAGATCAACACATGGGCTCCAGGTCCGTCGCCAAGCACCCCTAGGGTCCAGCCCCTAGGCCCCTAACGGCACTCGAAACCTTAAACTTAAATCCTAAAACCCTGAACCTTAAACCCTAAAAGCCAGGCCCCCCCCTCCCCCCCCAATTAAGGAGCCATATTGAGGGACCATGCAACTACCCTCAACCCTAAACCCTAAACCCTAAACCCTAAGCCCGCCATTCTTCAGGGACCATGTAGAAACCTTAAGATCTCAAGTACACCAGTTCCCTGCTCAGGGCAAGGGTGGCTCCAAGGCCATGCCGGGGTAGGGTTTGGGGTTTAAGGTTGAGGGTTTAGGGTTTAGGGTTAAGGGCTTAGGGCTTAGGGCTTAGGGTTCAGGGTTTGGGGTTTGGGGCTCGGGTTTTGGGGCTTGGAGGGTTAGGGGGGTTGACGTGCACTTCATTTTCCAGTTCCGTGGGACTGGCTCCTCTTATTGAAGCCCGTAGTTCGGGATTCGGCTTTCTGGGGTTTCGGAGTGTTTTTCGGGTTTTGGGGTTCGGTTTTGGCGGTTTTTTTTAGGGTGCCAGGTGGCCCCAGAACAAAGGCCCGTTCTTGGCTGTGGCATGCGGTGGAATCTGTGCGGGGCTTCCCAAGAATGGGCAGGGAAAGTTTAGGTGGGGGGGGGGGGGGGGGGGGGGGCTTTTTTTTTTCCTTTTTTAAGGGGATTATGCAAATGTCTTTTCGGTTGGGGAAATGCCCCAAATCTGGAACCCCAAATCTGGAACCCCCCCAAAACCCCCCAATGAACCATCGCGATGGCCAGGACAGCATCAATAAACCTAAACCCTAAACCGTAAAATCTAAATCTTAAACCCAAAACCCTAAGCCCTAAACCCTAAACCCTAAACCCCAAAGCGAAGCTCTTTTGCAGGATCGTGGGAAGGATGGCCGAGGTGGTCGTGGCCGACGAAAAGGCGCGCTGGGCTTGGTGGCATCGGACAGCATCAAGCCCTAAACCCGAAGCCCCTAGCCCTAAGCCCTAAACCCTAAACCCGAAGCCCTAAACCCTGCCTGAACCCTGAAGACCACCTGAACCCCAAACTCGTGCCCTGCTACGCCCCTGAAGCCCGAACCTCAAGAACTCCGAACCCTAAACCGTCTAATCCCTAAACCCTCCTAGAATTTTACCGCCACCTTCTAGAGCTCTGCACCCCGCAGGCGGCGACTGGGACTTGGGAGAGGCCCGAGCGGGGCTTTTCTCCTTTTTTTTTTTAATGGTTTCGGGCTTAGGCCTTTTGCAGCTTAGTTTGCCGTTTATGCCCGTGTGACCACCAAAACGGGTATCCTTTGGATTCCTGTGGCTACTCTGGGACCTGGTAAAACTCCGAAATGCAAGCCCTCAAGGCACCCCAGCAAACCCCTAGCGCGCATCCGAACCTGTCATTAACACCCTAACCCCCCCCTCCCTCCTCCCCCCCCAAACAAATAAACGAAGCCCCTTAATCCTCGAAAAAGTGCCCAGCTTAGCATAGATTTAGAACAGACAAGCAGCAGTCTTACAGTAGGGCTTTTAGGCCCCGAGGCCTGGGAGCCAATCTTGCCTGCAGCCTACCCTAAACCCTGAACCCTTGAACCCTGAACCCTGAACCCTAAAGAGGTTTAGGGCTGCCTGCAGCCTAAAGCCGTTTAGGGCTTAGGGTTTAGGACTCCAGGGACGTCAGAATCCATTACCCGCTTATGACTGATTAGGGTTTAGGGTTTAGGGTTTAGGGTTTAGGGTTTAGGGTTTAGGGTTTAGGGTTTAGGGTTTAGGGTTTAGGGTTTAGGGTTTAGGGTTCTGGGTTTAGGGTTTCGGGTTTAGGGTTTAGGAGGCTACTAAACACTCCGCCGTCAGTTCATGTTTCGTTCATCCGTCCCCTGTCGAAGGCTTCAATGCTGGGAGGAGGCCGCCCAAACCAGCGTGAGTGGTGTTGGTTATGGTGGGGGAATCGGATGTTTCTTGTTTTGTCTTTTAGGGAGGTAACCCTAAACCCTAAACCTCCACTTGCAGTACAGGGCTGTAGTTTGCATACTCAAGCTGCCAGCGACAAACATGCTCGCATGGTAAGAGCTCAGATTCCATCATGGCCTTACAGGTTGAATCCCTAAACCCCTAAAACCTCAGCCCTAAACCCTACACCCTAAACCCTAAACCCTAAACCCTAAATCCTAAGCCCTACATCCTAAACCCTAAGCCCTTGACCCCAAGGCCCCCAACCCGTAGCCCTAAACACAGAACCCTGAACTTTCTCGTTCCCGAACCAAAGTGTTTTTGCCAGAAAATCGACCAGCATCTCATCATCGGAGAGCCTCTGAATAAGACACCAATGAAAGGCAGAACATCGGCCAGCATTTCGTGCTCAAAAAACCTAGAAAAGCAAACCCTAAACCCTGTACCCTATACCCTAACCCCTAAACCCCAAATCCAACAATAAACCGTCAACCCTGACCCCGGAACCCTAAGCCTGCCTAAACCCTAAACCCTGGATCCCGCCAAAAGCACCCCCCCCCTCCCCACCCAAGCCCTAAAACCAAAAACCCTAAACCTAAATCAAAAATCCTAAACCCCAAGCCCTAAGCCCTAAGGCCGAAGCCCTAAACCCTTCACCCTGAACCCTAAACCCTTCACCCCAAACCCTAAACCCAAAACCCTTGCAAAATCCCAAACCCCCGAAAGCCCTCCTTTTCTGATCTTTCGCCATGACCAGGTGATTGGAGCTCCAAGGACGAGGAGACGTGGACTCGGAATGCATCCAAGGCTTAAGGCTTCGGGATTGCCCAGGGCTTCCGCTGAACCCTGAACCCTGAACCCTGAACCCTGAACCCTGAACCCTGAACCCTGAACCCTAAACCCTAAACCCTAAACCCTAAACCCTAAACCCTAAACCCTAAACCCTAAACCCTATAGCCCCCCAAAGGCCCCCTAAAGGCCTCCTAAAGGCCCCCTAAAGGCCTCCTACAGCCCCGCTTCGCACTGGACTCGATCCACCCTGCCTGCCAGGACAACGGCCGAGTCATCCCGCCGCAGATTCCCGCCGCACCGGTCCAGCAGGACTACCAGGCTCGACTTTCCGAGATTCTTTACCCATGTTGCTTAGCTTATCGCTTAGGGTTTGAGAGCCCAAGTTTTTGTTTTGGGTTTTATGTTACTACGATTATTGGCTTGTTTATGCACGTATATGTATATATGACATGTATATCTATACATAGATCTCTCTCATTGTCTTTCTATTTGTCTTTCGCTTTGTATTTCTCTTTCTCTTTGTCTTTTTCTTTCTCTTTCTCTTTCTCTGCCTCCGTAAAAGGTCGCAACGAGGTCTGTGCCATTAGCATTCTAAGCTAGCCTTGCTAGTCTTCATCCTCCCAGCCACCAAGGGTCTCTGTGGGGCATTGGTGCCCGCTCAAAGGGCTTCAGGGTTTTTGGGTTTCAGGGTTTAGGGTTTTAGGTTTTAGGTTTTAGGGCTTAGGGTTTTAGGGTTTTAGGGTTTTAGGGTTTAGGCTTTAGGGTTTGAGAGTGGCAAGCGGAACCTTGTTGACAGCAGGTCATGTGTGCAGCCTGTGGGACTCTGTGCGGCTGAGACCTCAGCAAAGCTGTTTTACAAGGCTGTGGACATGGTGAGTGTGGGGGTTGCGGGTTATGCTCGTAGTTTTTTGCGCCCAGTGTGAGTGTTTTCCACCCTAAACCCTAAACCCTAAACCCTAAACGCTAAACCCTAAACCCTAAACCCTAAACCCTAAACCCCAAACCCTGAAGCGATTTTCATCCGAGGCTCCAGCTATCGTTTCTGCTCCTTCTGCGGGAACTACCTCTGTGACACAGGGATGGCAGGGCCAGTGATGATGGCTGCGTGCCTTGGCGCAGAAGGGTTTAGGGGTTAGGGTTAAGGTGTAGGGTTTAGGTTTAATTAGGCTTTTGGCAAAAGGGTGTTTAGCGGTTCCGGGGTAAGGGCTTTGGGCTTGAGGTTTATCGAACGGGGTCTAGGCGTACCTGAAAGTAGGTCCATTGGTAGTTGATGCACTTATGAGGAGGGTTTCATGAAGGGACGCAAATGGGAACCACACAGGGAACCCCTAGAAAATAGTAGGAATATAAAGGGTAGGTGTATTCCGATTAGATTCCTACCGAAATTCTTGGGGTTCCCTGTTTGGGGTTCCCATTAAAGTCCCTCTATTGCAGGCACGTAGGGTATACCCATGCTTCGAAACCTGATGCACATGACAACCCTGCTTCCACCTAAACCCTAAACCCGAAACCCGAAACCCTAAACCCGAAACCCTAACACCTAAACCCCAAGCCAACGTGACTCTCGTCTCCTCTTGTTTTCTTGTAGCCACAGGTACTTCCAGCCCACGGAGTGGCAGATGATGCCTGAGCTCGGTGCCAATGTTTCCGTCTGAAAAGTGAGACTTATCGGTTTAGGGTTTAGGGTTTAGGGTTTATGGTTTTAGGGTTTCAGGGTTTAGGGTTTAGGGTTCAAGGTTCAGGGTTTAAGGTTTAGGATTCAGGGTTTTTAGGGTTTAGGGTTTAGGGCCACCAGACGGTTGCCAGAGTTGTGCTACGCGTTCTTGGGTGCCGGGGTTGGGGGGGGGTGGGGGGCAGGTCCAGACATGTATCTTCGTGCTTTTACTTAACCCAAAACCCTAAACCCTAAACCCTAAACCCTAAACCCTGGACCCTAAACCCTAAACCCTAAACCCTAAACCCTAAACCCTAAACCCTAAACAATGCCTCTCTCCTGTGGAGATGGGAAGAGTCATGCCGAGGCAGCCACAGATGACAGAGCAGTCTCCCGTCGCTGTCGACACGGACGACATGCTGGGCCCCAGGGGCACACCACCGGCTAAACGGGGGGTTTACGAAGATAGGCCACCCCTAAAATACATCCCAAATAGTAGGATTCCCCTTTTCATAAGGAACCCAAGATCCCCTTTTCATAAGGACCCCCCGATAAGGTACCCCGGATTCCTTTCATTGGCCATGCTTGCTGCTTCGCCTCCCTGGAAAGATGGCTCAGCCCTAAACCCTAAACCCTAAACCCGAAACCGTAAATCCTGAATCCTAAACCCTAAACCCTAAACCAAAAAACTAAACCTAAACCCTAAACCAGTCGTTTTCCCTCAAGTTCGTATGACGTCAGCCCGCGCCCGCGTCTCTGCGCCCGCTTCCGGTGCCGAGGCCGACGTTCCCTTCGAAGTCCAGCGGGAAGAAAGAGACTAACAAGGCGCTCCGGTATCAATAAACGTAAATGAAAGATGATAAATGTATTCATAAGTCAATCTATATATATATATATATACATACATTATATGAACTAGCTATATCTGTATTATATATATATATGGATGTATGTATATCGGATGATATATCTCTCCATATGTAGACATGTTCCACATGTGCAGTAGTTATGCTTGAGTGTCAACAGGGAGACACCGAACTGGAGTTCTGCGCTTGCTGCCAGATGGCACGACCCCCCCCCCCCCCCCCTCCCACCACTAGTAAATCCGAAGCAACCCGCCGCTCCCTAAACCCTAAACCCTAAACCCTAAACCCTAAACCCTACACCCTGAACCCTAAACCCCGCCCCACCTTTCCCCCTGCAATGTGATCTTGAACATTCAGTTTCGCTCAGATTCAGCAAGAAGAGACGCCCGCGGACAACGAGCCCCCAGCCGAGGTTCGCGCAGAGCAGTAGCCCTAAACCCTAAACCCTAAACCCAAAGCCCTAAACCCTGAACCTTGAACCCTAAACCCTAAACCCTAAACCCTAAACCCCAAACCCTACACCCTAAACCCTAAGCCCTAAACCCTGAACCCTGAACCCTGAACCCTGACCCCTAAACCCTAAACCTTTTTGGGGTTTGGGTTAGGCTGTGTAGAGAATAATGTCGTAATCCTCTTTGTGGTGATTTCAGGCAAGCTCCTCGACTTGAGCCCAGTTTAGGGTTTAGGGTTTAGGGTTTAGGGTTTAGCGTCTAGGGTTTAGGGTTTAGGGTTTAGGGTTTAGGGTTTTCTTTACGGCTACCTCTTTGTTTGCTAGGGTGTGCTTGAGGAGCCCAACCAACAGCAAAGCTCCCCCAAAAGGATCCAAAAGGTAATTGCAATCACCATGAGTCCTTTTAGGATTCCGCAAGCCAGTCCTAGTTCAGAGTGCCTGAAGCCTAAGCCCTAAACCCCAAGCCCTAAACCCTAAACCCTAAACCCTAAACCCTAAACCCTAGACCCTAAACCCCAAACCCTAAACCCTAAACCCTAAACCCTAAACCCGAAATTCTCCACGCAAAAGGAGCTGGACATCCTCCACGGAAGAATGATGCTGTTGGCCGCGTTGAAGGCTGGAGTGTTGAAGGGTGATGCCCGCTGCACTAAACCCTAAACCCTAAACCCTAAACCCTAAACCCTAAACCCTAAACCCTAAACCCTAAACCCTAAACCCTAAACCCTAAACCCTAAACCCTAAACCCTAAACCCTAAAAACTAAACCCTAAACCCTAAACCCTAAACCCTAAACCCTAAACCCTAAACCCTAAACCCTAAACTCTAAACCCTGAACCCTAAACCCTAAACCCTAAACCCTAAGCCCTAAACCCTAAACCCCAAACCTTAAACCCTAAACCCCGAAGCAGAAGCCACTGCAGTCGCAGGTGGCGGGCTCCAACTCCAAGCCAGGGCCCCAGGGTCGCTTTAGGGTTTAGGGTTTAGGGTTTTGTCGGAATAGGGCTGAAAGTATCGGGTTTTAAGCGGCTAGGGTTCAGGGCTTGCGGGCTTACGGCATTTTACGGGTATAGGCAGTGATTTTAAGGTCTAGGGTTTGGATGAGTTTGGGGTTTAGGGGTATAGGGGTGTTTACGGTTTAGGGTGCGGGACTTTAGGGCTTAGGGGGGTTTAGCGGTTTAGGGTTTATTCGCCCAAAACTACTCGACCAGCCTAAACCAGGCCAAAGCCATTCCAAACTCACATGTCGAAGGTTTTTCACGGGAGACTTAAATCACGTGGGCACTTGAAGCACTTGGACTTTTGGGGGCCCCTGGATCGTTTGGATCATCTGTGGCCTTTTGCCTACTTTTGGTGAAGTTTCGGGACACTTCACGCTGGGTGCACTTGGCTCACCTGGATCACGTGGGATACGTGAATCACTGAGGACACCTGGGACTTTTCGGTCACCAGCAGTTTGCACCCTTGCCTTGGGTCACTTTAGACGTGCATGCTCTGGGTGTGCAGGGGTTAGGGTTTAGGGTTTGGGGTTTCGGGCTTTGAGGCTCGGGGTGGGGCTCCTTACCGCGGGTAGTCACAACTGGCACTCGAAATAACGTACATGTGTCTGTACATGCTTACAACATTGTCTGGGGGGGGGGGTACTGTAGAGCCCGACTTATAAAACCCCTAAACCCTGAACCCTGTAAACCCTACATGCCCATGAAACTTCACTTCCACTTCGTTTCACATGCGGACCCATTCCTTGCATCTTGGGGTTGTTCTGAATCCTGTTCTTGTTTTTGAACCTCTATTGGCATCAGTGCTTCTTTTGTTTGCCCTAAACCCTAAACCCTCAACCCCAAATCCGAAACCCTAAACCCCAAACCGCAAACCCCAAACCCCAAACCCCAAACCCCAAACCCGAAACCCCAAACCCCAAACCCCAAACCCCAAGCCCCGAACCCTAAACCCTAAACCCTAAACCCTACACCCTACACCCTAAGCCCTAAACCCTAAACCCTAAGCCCTAAGCCCTAAACCCTAAACCCTGATCCCTAAAACCCCAAACCCCAAACCCCAAACCCCAAACCCTAAACCCTAAACCCTAAACCCTAAACCCTAAACCCTAAACCCTAAACCCTAAACCTTCTGAAGTCCTTGAAGTCCGAGGAAGCTCCCGGCGGATGCACAGGACTGAGTACCGTGCAGAACCTCCAGGAGATGTAGTGGGTCCATAGGGTTTAGGGTTTAGGGTTTATGGTTTAGGGTTTAGGGTTGAGGGTTCAGGGTTTTGGGTTCGCCAAGCTCGGAACCCAAACTGTGGCCTTACTGAATGGACATCGATCGTGAAGAATGTCGTTTCCTTGCTGTTCCTGAAATGCACTGTCGACATGGTTCCAACGTTACAAAGAAGACTTACTGTTGGCTAGCCGAGAATGAGGGAATCAGGCCCTACATATACCCATTAAGGGATTATGTAGGGATTGGATCGGTTTGCACCTGCGACCTGTTCGAATCTTTCATGGGTTCCCCTCCTACCACCCTCTATACTACCCCGCCGCCCCCCCTGCAGGTTCCCCCCATAATTGAGGATATTTAGGGATAAGCGTAAGTAAGGTCATTTAAGGGGGGGCAACTCGCGGGGGGTGGGGGGGGAGGCAGGAAAGAGGGGGGCAGTAGGGAAACCCATGAATCTTGGTCGCGAGTCGTGCTGCGGAGTTCTTGAGAAGTTCCGTTTTCATTGACGCAGCACTTTCAGCTCCTTCTGGATTTTCAGCGTGTTGCGGCACGCTATACGGGATTGGCATTTCGGAGGGTTTGACATGGGAGTCCTCCAAGGCAAGCTAGGGATTCACAAGGTCATCGCTTTTTGTGGACTTCTGGTTGCACGAAATGTGGAACACGCGTCCCATGTGAACATATCGTTTTTGGATTTTAAGCCAGATTTTAAGGTTCTCATCCCTAAACTTTAAACCCCCTGAGCCCAAAACCCTAAACCCTAAACCCTTTTTCGGATCGGGCTTGGGGTGCTCTTGATGTTGGCCAAAATTCAATCCAACACATATTATCTGGGTATTGCTTTGGGATAATTTTAAATTTCCCTTCTTTCCCTTTTAAGGGAACCTATTCATAAATAATCTTCAAAGGGCTTTAAAGCAACACCCAGTTATACACACTATGACGGCCATCTTCGGTTGCTCTCGGAGAGGCTCATGGAGTCTCTTACACCTCCTTCTTAGTAGGGGAATGAGGGAATGAGGCCCCTAAATATTCCCATTTAGCGTTTAGGGTTTAGGGCTTAGGGTTTAGGGTTTAGGGTTTAAGGGATTTTAGAGGGCCCCCTAAATTCCCTCATTCCCTAGTAACAACCAGCCAGGTAAGGAAAGCGTAGAGTATCCGGAAAAGGACGCCCCATAGATGCACTGACCAATGTTTCTATGGAGTCTACATACACTCGCCGAACGCATCAAGATGAACCCTGCCGAACGCATCAAGATGGACCCTACCTCGTGTAGCTTAAGTTCCTTAACAGCCCAGTTGCCTGCAACCCTAAACCCTAAACCCTAAACCCTAAACCCTAAACCCTAAACCCTAAACCCGAAACCCTAAACCCTAAACCCTAAACCCTAAACCCCTGTATTGTGCAGGAGGACCTTTCTTGAACTGGGCCAGCGCAGCGACAAAGACCCCACGTCAAGGCCCCTTTGGGGGGGGGCTTAGGTGGATGTTTCGCGAGCTCATTGGGATGGCAACAGCTTGCCCTAAACCGCTAAACCCTAGACCCTCAACCAAAGCAATAAAAATGACAACAATAATAATAGAAATAAAAATAATAATATTAATTCGGTACATTCCTCAAGGAATGTCTGTTGGGCACTCCTGGCGTTTCGAGATGTGAGATTTGGGAGCCTCAAACCCTCGTCCCAGCAAGCCTGGCGAAGCAGTAGCCTCCGACGGTACTCCAAGTCCTCGACCCCAAGCCCCCAGCCCTCAGTCCCAAACCCTAGACCCTAAAATTTGAGCCGCCCAACGACACTCCCCCCCGTCCCCCCAAGCAAGCACCTGACGTTCTGGCCGGGATCAACCCTAAACCCTAAACCCTAAACCCTAAACCCTAAACCCTAAACCCTAAACCCTAAACCCTAAACCCTAAACCCTAAACCCTAAACCCTAAACCCTACACCCTAAACCCTAAACCCTAAACCCTAAACCCTAAACCCTAAACCCTAAACCCTAAACCCGTACAATGCCTTCAGGTGAGACATTGGGCAATTCTGGCGCACCTGGGGAGCCACGTGTTGCAGCTTTCGAGGGCCCTAAACTTTTGGTTTGTTAGAGTTTTCAGCGTTAGGGTTTAGGGTTTAGGGTTTAGGGTTTAGGGTTTAGGGTTTAGGGTTTAGGGTTTAGGGTTTAGGGTTTAGGGTTTAGGGTTTAGGGTTCAGTGAAGGCTCGCAACGCTTGGAGCTCCGGAAAAGTGGAGTGCCAAGGGGAAGGATGTACTCGAAGCCGCCCTCAAAGAAGATTGCGCCCAATGACTCTTAAGGAGTCCGCACCTCAAAGCTGGACAGGACAGGATCCTTGCAATGAATTGAGGGTTTAGGGTTTACGGTTTAAGGTTTAGGGTTTAGGGTTGAATGTTTCATGTTCCTGAAGTAGTGGGCCCTCTGAGTTCGTAACTTGCCCTGGACGGCCTAAGGCCGATGCCCGAAACACCTGAACTCTGAGCAGCCTGCAGACAATTGACAGCTCCGAATCCCTAAAGCCTAAACCCTTAAACCCCTAAACCACGAAACCCTAAACCCTAAACCCAGAAATTTTTAAACCTAAACCCTAACCCTTCACCCTTCACCCTTCACCCTAAACCCTAAACCCAAAACCCTAAACCCTAAACCTCCTTCTGATGCTCTCCATATGAATGGCTGGCAAAGCCATCGAGTCCGTTCCGCGGGAGATGAGGGGGAGCTGGCCTTTCAGTTCATCTCCATTTAGGGTTCAGGGATTTAGGGTTTAGGATTAGGGCTTTAGGGTTTAGGGTTTAGGGTTTAGGGTCTAGGGTTTGGGGTTGAGGGCTAGGAATACTTAGTGGTAGCTCGCGTGATGCCGGCAGCGTCGTGCTGTTAGCCACTTAAGTCTCACAGGTAATCCCTGACCCACAAGAACTACAAAAAATCACAGCGCCAAGACCATAAATTTGCCCTAAAGTCTAAACCCTAGACCCTAGACCCTAGACCCTAGACCCTAGACCCTAAACCCTAAGCCCTAAGCCCTAAGCCCTAAGCCTAAACCCTAAACCCTAAACCCTAAACCCTAAACCCTAAACCCTAAACCCTAAACCCTAAACCCTAAACCCTAAACCCTAAACCCTAAACCCTCAGCCTCTAAGCAGCAGCAATCTGGCGGTGGTCCCTCATCCCGGTGCGACGAGCGACATCTTTTTTCAACAGCCGTCGCGGCTTGCCTTCCCGGATGTTGCGAATATGTGTGGTTTAGGGTTTAGGGTTTAGGGTTTAGGATTTAGGGTTTAGGGTTTAGGGTTTAGGGTTTAGGGTGGTAGGCTTCTGAAACCCGAAGTTCTGAGCCCCAGGGCCCGAACCCTAAGCGCCAAGAGCAAGAGTATGGCTTGACTCGAAGCACAAGTGGGGTTGGTTAAGACTTTTGGCGGCCGCCTCTATCCCAGCAATCAGGGTTTAGGGTTTAGGGTTAAGGGTTCAGGGCTTAACGGTTGTACATTGCGTAGGCGCGGGGGCGGCATTTGAGGCAATCCTGAGAAGGGCGATCGGCGTCATAGTGCAATCATAGAACAGCCAGTCCTGCTATGTGGTTAAGGGTGCGGTGTTTAGGGTTTCGGGATGCTCCCTTGTTGGATTAAGGGGTCGCGTTAGAGAGACCCCACACAGGGCCATAGTTCAAGCAACTGATGAAATCCTTGCAATCTAAGCGTAATTCAACATACCCCAAACCCATACCCCTCAACCTATACATGAAAAATATAAGTGAGGATTTTACACCCTGAACCCTGAACCCTGAACGCTGAACCCTGAACCCTGAACCCTAAACCCTAAACCCCAAACCCCAAACCCTAAACCCTAAACCCTAAACCCTAAACCCTAAACGCGGGGTATGCCCAGGGGTCATGTTGAACAAGTCTTTCGAAGCCAAGGGCACATCGGAAAGCGGCCGCGCGAGAGGTGCGTTCCAGGTGTGCGGACATGGCTGGCGTGAGCTGAAGCTGGCCTTGGGTTCAGGGTTTAGGGTTTAGGGTCTAGGGTTTAGAGTTTAGGGTTTAGGGTTCAGGGTTTAGGGTTTAGGGTTTAGGGTTTAGGGTTTAGGATCTGCATCGACGCGTGTGCAGCTGCAAGATCGGAGCTGTTTCGGGTTTCCGAAAGTAGGGGTACCCTTGTCTGGGTTTTGGAGTACTGTACTTGAGTAGTTTTTTGGTTCTGGGTTCCTATTATAGCGACATATACCTACAAAGTATATACCTTTTTTGCCAGGTGTACTCCAAAGTAGGGTTGTGGGGCTGCCCAGAATCTCGGAGTAGAGTATTGGTTTCCGAAGTTCTCTAGATGCCCCCTAAATACCCTAAATACCCTAAGTTCCCTAGATCACCTAAATACCCTAAACCCTAAACCCTAAGCCCTATACCCTAATACCCTTAAAACCCTCAACCTTGCCTTCCCTATACCAAAACACCTTCATCTCCCCGCAGAAAAAGAAGCGCCTTGGAGCGAAGCTCCAGCTTCTCTCGAGGCCTTGTCTGCTGACACCTCTGTCTGCACGACGCCCGACCCAACCTCGGGCGCAGATTGGCTGGCCCGACCCATGCATGGTTCGTAGCATTCAGGCTTTCAGGATTTCAGGGGTTTAGGGTCTAGGGTTCAGGGTTTCAGGGTATAGGCTTGAGGGTCCAGGGGTTCAGGGTTTAGGGTTTAGGGTTCAGGGTTGGGTTCAGGATTCAGGGTTTAGGGCTTAGGGTTCAGGATTTTTAGGGGAGCTTCCTTCTGACCGCTTCTCAATATCGGAGCCCGAATTAGGAAACCTCACCAAAAAAACAAGAGGGGCTGTTGGGATGGTCACCCTTATGCTAACAGCCTTTAATAGGGCTGATACTAGGGGGGTGCTCCCTAGTAAGGACTGCTACAAAACGAGATGGAGGATCCCCAGGTGAGCTGGTTTTTTTTTGTTTCCATTTTTGCA